TGATTTTTATTTCTCTCGGTCAGAAGTCATCGTTTATTTGTTTTCGAAAATTTTTAACCGTTATAATGGAGGCGGCATTTTTATGACCGATTTAAATCTTTTATGACCCAAAAAATTAAATATGAAAATAACGGTTATAATATGATCAAAAAAATAAAAATTAGAAAATAACAATTATTGTTGAACAAAAAAAATAAAAATTATAAAATAACGGTCAAAGTTGTTCGGTAAAATAGAAATCCAATTTGAACAATTTAACTATGACTTTTTTATTTTAAAAATCATAACCGTTCCGGCACCTGGCAAAAATGAGTAAAAAATTGTAAAAAAAACTTACGAGTAAAATCCCACAAACAAAAACAAAAACGTATTTTCAAATCACACAAACTCCAAGCGTTTGCAGCTTTACACTATTTCACATATCTAAATTTTCTGTTTTAAACTTAAAAGCTGTAGTAGTTGTTACATATTTTTTTTTAAAATAGTTTTTATGATAGTTTTAATTTTTTTTTGCTTATGTTTTTATTTAGATTTAGTGAAATTATATATGTATGAATATGCATTAGTGTTGCTTTTAGTTTAAGAATCTTCATTCATTTACAGCTCTTTTGCTTTATAGTTTCAAGTAGTTCCTGTAAGATTGTACTAACTTTCCCAATGCTAACGCTAAACTCACTACTATGGCTCCAAACGAGCTATTGTTGTCGCATAAAAGGAGCACACAGGCTCTTGACAGTCTTTAGTGTATATATTTATGTACACTTGTAGTCACGTAAAAGTTACCACGACTTTTTTAAGCATAGTTCATTCTGTAACAAAAGCTATACAAAAAACTATGCAAATAAAAATTGCACACTTTCTAATTAAAGGTTTTACCAAAATTTCTGGAATGCGGTTTAATAGCCCATTTAATTTTAGTATAATAATGTGCAATTTTGAAGTGGCCTAAAAATCTCAGTGAATTTTGAAAATTTTTTCCAGACGATCTTGTCTAGTTTTTTCCATATAACGAATGCTCGCATCTTTTTTATATGGAAAAAATTTGCAACATCGTATGAAAAAAATTCAAACTTGCACTTTATTATACTAAAATTAAATGGGCTATACCGAAATTGTCCTAATAATTTCGTTTCAAAAGGTTGAAATTTGGATGATTTTTTTTTTAATTCTGCGCAAAGTTTGACACTTTTATTTATATAGTTTTTGTTACAGTGTATATAAATATACATTTTTTTTTTTAATTTATCAAACTCTATCTAATTAAAAACAGTCGTGGTAATGTTTACGCCGCCACAAGTGTATGTATGTATGAGTGTTGAGTTTGCGTTGCATTTCCTAAATGGTCTCGTAGTATGCTCGCTTTACCGCACTCTTTTTTTTTTGTTGTTTAGTATATTTTTCTTTCTCTAAGGGCCGTCTTCACATTAGGGATATTAACGAAATTGAGCAAGTGCCCTGATTTTCGGGCAAATGAGCTGATTAGCTTAAACAACAACTTTGACAACATTCGTTGTTAAGCTTACTACCGAATATGGGTATGAGTTAACTGTCCACTGTGAAAATGATCTTAACAATTTTCGAGCAACTTCATTGGCAATAAACATTTGAAAGAAATTTCTTTGAAGTTGGCTAAGTTGAAAAACACTGCCAATATCACGATTTCAAAGTCTATTCAAACGATGCGAGGCGCAGGCAGCTAACCAAATAGTAACTGGTAATAAGGCTCTGTCTTTTGCGAAAACCGTTTGTGTTTGAGAAATCAGCAATGCGCTCTGATAACACTAGGGGCGTTCATTGCTGACTTCTGAAACACAGTACAAGGTTGCTTGGCGGGCTCTGTTAAAAATATATCTAATAATGCCATATATGGCTTAGACATTCTACTATCACTGCTACGCCCGCCTGATGGAGCGCGTTGGTTCTCGGCACCTTTACTAGCAGGCCGTGTGAACTGAGACCAGCTCAACTTCACTTGATTTAGGGTATCTAATGCTGGCCAACCAGTCTCTGGCGGTAATCAACCGTAATCATGTAATAATTAACGCGCTATGCTAGCGGACTTTTTTTAAAATTTAAATGCTATCTTTTTGTTTTAAACTATCTCGGTACTTTCTTCTGATTTGCTGTTATTTATTGTCTTAGGG